ATGACCTAACAACAAAGAAGACAAAAAGACAAAAGGCGCCATCACTAGGCGCCCAGCAGGAGACGCCCAGACGAGGGTCTCGCCCTCTCCACCTTGGGCGCCTTTTATGCTAGGACTATGACTCTGCTCTTGCGCAAGTAGTCACCTAGTAAACCTTTACCACAACAGCCATCTCCCGAGACTATACGTAATTCGGTCTCTATGACTCTACTCTCGCGCAAGTCCATCTCTCGAGACTATACATACCTTGGCCTCTATGACTCTGTTCTAGTGCAAGTCCATCTCCCGAGACTATACGTACCTCGGCCTCTATAACTCTGCTCTCGCGCAAGTCCATCTCCCGAGACTATACGTAGCCCGGCCTCTATGACTCTACTCTCGCGCAAGTTCATCTCTCGAGACTATAAGTAGGTCGGCCTCATTGACTCTTCTCTCGTGCAAGTCTCTGCCACAGCAGCCATCTCCCGAGCCTATACATAGATCGAGCTCAGCTCATGCGTCCCTCCCACGGGACGCCCACGGCTCTAACTTTGCTCTCACGCAAATAGCATATCCCTTTCTTTAGATAATCATGTTAGATATTTTAATGTCTATATGACATTGTCTTTGCCAAGCAAACTGCTGAAGCTCAAGTCATCTGTAACCGAGCCACTATTAGAAGCAGAGTGAAGCCACAATCCCCGTAGAAATCACACTAGAGTCTCAACTCATGTAGTGGTACAAGGGCTAATTCTAGTACACAGTCTGGGAAGGAGTGGGGGCACCACCTGATCTTACTCCCGCGAAGCAACCTAGCCATCGGATCTTAACCGAGGAGCACTGGGGGCATCAAACCTCGCCCTCTTGAGAGGAGGAAAAGACACCACCCTAAAAGCAAAGAAAGTCCCCAAATCAACAGGGTACTTATTCAGAGACAAGGTCAATTAGTGACCAAACACCAGAGAGGCACCGCCCATTGCCAAATTTAAGGCGTTGCCCAAACATAGCGCCCAAGGCCTTTGATGTCGCAAAAAAAAAAAAAAAGGCTAAAGGAGCAGCGCCCAAGAAGAAGGAAAAAAAAAAAGAGGAACACGAGCAAAGGTGGCGCCAGCCCAAATGAAGAAAGGAAAAGAAAAAAAAAAGAGAAAAGAGAAGTCAAAAAAGGGCGGCGCCCAACCAAGCCAAGAAAAAAAAAAGGAAAAGAAAAGAAGAAGGAAAGGAGAAAAAAAAATTCGATACCGATCAATGCAACGGAGTCCTGAAGACGAGGAAAATTTCGACTCACTCCGATAAAGACGAAGCACATGCCCACAACCCTTTCCTCTCGAAAAGTCAGAGGCTTGGGGCATGGGGTGCAAATGATGAGCCCGAAATTAACTGGGCTAAGTCCAATTTAAATAAATCAAGAAAGCCCAAAGAAGAGCTCAACTGAATCTAGGTCGACCCATCAGGAGGAAATCCAAAAGGACATCAAGAGGCCAACGCCCAAGAGGCGGACACCCAAGAGACGGACATCAAAGAGGCAGACGTCCAAGAGTTACAAGAGGTCAACGTCCAAGAGGCCAACACCCAAAGCACCAAGAGCCAACGCCCAAGCACTTGGGGCGTCACCCATGGCCCCCTTAACTGTCCAAGCACTGCCCATTGCTCCTCATTTTGCCACTTCAACCTAAGTCCAAGCTCAGGATCAAGTCCAACCCAGCTCAAGATCTTCCTCCGATGGAACAAGAGCATGAAGGAGAGAATATCAGGATACGCTTGGAGATCTAATCCTACCATAACTGCACTTACCAAAATAGTAGAAGTCCTCTCCCTCACGTCACCACCTCACTGTCTTACTAAGCCTATATAATGTAAGCTCTCTCTACATAAAAGGCATAACCTTAAGATCTTGGCATCCCTACACACACTACACCTTTCTACACACACTACTCTCTCTGTCTCTCTCTTTCCAAAGCACTGTAATACTCTTGGAGAATACTCACTCAAATGACTTCACACATTAATAAAAGATCCAGGCCACCGCTATCATTCCCAAGAGTGGAGTAGGTCACCTGTACCAAACCACTATAATTCTTTGTGTTGGCTCCTTATTTAGAGCTTTATTATTGATTGTTTTATTTATCGCTCATTAACTCCATCCATTCATACACTTAACTGTTGATTTTGCACAAAAACTAATTTGTACATCATCAATAATAAATAGATTATATATAACTTGCATGCAATAAGACAAAGTTTCAAAGTCTAAATGTTTTTCATGGTTTTGACATGCTTCACGAGTTATGCTCATATTATGATCATAATTGTATTTATGCAGAAACATATCAAGCAGGTTAACATTGAAAACCCGAAAAATATAAGCATTAACAGATTGTTTTCGTTATTGTCGCGTTGGANAGGTTAACATTGAAAACCCGAAAAATATAAGCATTAACAGATTGTTTTCGTTATTGTCGCGTTGGAAAGGTTGGTGTCATCCTATCACTACAACCAAAAGTATCCATATAAATTAGCGTCTGTGAAAATTACCAAGAAAAATGGTGACAAAAAAAAAAAGAAGAAAAAAATAAGGGTCTCCATCAGGACTCGCGGGCGTGCAAATGATAAGGTTACTAGTTATCACAAGTTTGGATCATGAAAATAATATCTCTGAATAAAAGTTTAGATTATATGTATCTGNTTGCGGGCGTGCAAATGATAAGGTTACTAGTTATCACAAGTTTGGATCATGAAAATAATATCTCTGAATAAAAGTTTAGATTATATGTATCTGACCCTCTACCGATTGCACAATGACACAAGTTCCAGGCATTGGGCTTTCTTTTATTAGGCATGGTATGGTTATTTATTCAGGAAGTGGGATAGGTATTGGCTTTAATTTACTCACATGAAAGCATTGGTTTGTCACCACCTTTTAAAAAGACAGAAAGGTTTATTTTCATGTGAATGGCCAGCATCATTTGTGTTCCTCTTCAATAACCTAAGCTTTAATCTTCTACATGTAGCCCTCAAAGACATCCATTAATATTAGCAATTAGAAGAAATACATGTGTGAATGGCACTAAGATGATTTGGGCATTTAAAATAAAATTTACTCTTTAGCAATATCAATGGTGTCATTATCATCGCCAATAAGAAATACAAGTTGCATACGATCACTAAAATTAGCATAGAATAAAGTCATGAATTAGTGTAAGGGATTCTAATTCCATCTAAGAAGAGAAAGAAGAGGAGTCAATCTTACTTTACTCCCATGTGTGTGTCTTGCCCTGTAGTACTTTGGTGGGGAAATTAATATGTTTAATGTGATTTTGGGATAAAGTGTTACTACAGTATTAAAGAAGTCTTATCAAAATTAATGGTATGCGCCTGTTTCTTGAGTTGATGCGGACCAAACATTTTTCAACCCAATCTAAATGGCTCTTTCTGTAAAAACACAAAACTACCCTTCTTTTTGTTATTCTTTATCAAATACTTATTTTTTTTTAATTTAAGAAGAGTTTCGGTAGTTTGGATAACGAAAAGTGCAGACACTTGATAAGAACATCAATACATGGGGCATGTTCAATTCCATTCCAATTCATGGTAGACTACCCGCGGATGGTGATGGGGATGAAAATTATACCCGTTAACGGGGGTAGACCGGGAATGGACGAAAATTTTTTAAGAGGGTACAGAGATAGAGACTATACCCCCGGCCCCAGGTAATTTGAGTATTAATTGCTTAAATAGTCATGGATGATTATTTTTTGGTTTATGAAGTTGGTTTGATTGGTTACATTCAATTGTTTGCAAGAAATTAGCAGTAGTTAGTTTCTCAGGTTTTAAAATTAATACGTGTACTAATTAATATTATAGATGAATAAATAGAATTAAAAGGCTACAATTTCCTAAAAAGTACATATTGAGTATTTTATTTTATCAGGGATAGTTTTCGTCATATTTCATTCCATTTCGGCCAAAAAAAAAATAATTTCCCAAACACGAGAATGGAATGTGTATTCTATTCCTACATTTCATCCCAAATATTGAAATGATAATCCATATTCAATTTAATTCCTAAGCTAATTGCATTATCACGTCCATTCTATTCCACCTAAAAATATTACCGTGTATCAAATGCAACATAAAAGTACGATCAATTCCATTTCAATTCATGGTAGTGATAATCATGGATCAATTTTTTTATCATATTCCTATTATATCATGTTTCGTTCAAAAGATAATATGGAGTGTGGATCTATTATTCTGATATCAATATCATGTATTGATGAGGTATTAGTGTACGATATTAAGTTCAAAAAGACAAAAACACCCATATTAATGCATAATTATTCAATTTATAAGGATACTTTTGTCATTTTGAATATTATTATCAATCATAGCTCATTTAATAATACATATTATATAGTATTGATTTATACCAAATATGAGGTGTTGGATCTACATTAGAACTAGGTTGTACTAAAATATCTTTAATATCTAACCTTATAATTTGATTCAAACTTAATATTAAATAATGATTGAACTAATTTAGACCAATTCCATCCTTCCATATCTCAAACAAATATGCCCCAAGTATTATCAGGCAAAATCCAAATTATTACGTCTCTATTGTAGTGTCTTAACTTCTATGCAAAAAATGGGTAGTTTACAGACTAGTACATGAACCGGGGACTAGATTTCTTCCCAGTAGATGAACCGATAGATGGCTGGTCGTGTTTTTCTCTAACATGGACCATGCCAGCTTTCACAATGATCCAATATCAAGTCGCAAGTCCCTATCAAAACTTGTATAGGTAGAGATTGACTTAATTCTAGAAATATGATTCAAACACTGCCCAATCAATGATTTTAAGTATGTTCGGTACTGCTATTGCTAGACAAACAAATTTTATACTGATTTTTCTGAACTGAATGATGCTGCCCACTAATACTCTTCCATTTTCTAAACACACAAAAAAGACCCAGAACCCCGAGGAGTGACCCAGGGTTTACATGCACATACCTCCACCGCCAAACGCCCAAATGATCACAACAATAAATTCACAGATCTTCAATATTATTGTCAACATGGTAACCGTAACAACACATAAACCGTCAATACCAATGCTGAAATGACAATCCAAGTGTTATAACTCAAAGAAAACCTCCGAATTATATGATCGATTGCAAAATCTCCCAGAACTAAGAGAATCTTAAAAAGAAAAGGGAAAAAACACTCTATAAATGCAATGTGGAAGGCAAATGTCTCCAGCATGATATTAGGACTCGAGCAAAACTATTTAAGTGTGGCCTGTCAAGGTGCTTCAGTCTTTGGGCCGCATCATTTGATACCTGGCATCTACAGAGTTGTGTCCTACTCATAAGACTAGTATAAATGCCAATCACTTATAGGAGAGAGAAAGTTGGTTATCGAAGCATTGAAGTAATAATTTTTTAGAATGTCACAAAGGAACATCAAATCGAAAACATAGAAGACAATAGATATCAAAACGTTGGCAATATAGGAATGGCACAAAACCCATATAAAACTCTAAGCAGTGTGGCCCTCCTCTGCCGCTGCTTCAAAGGTCTGGCCAGCAACTAGTTCTGGGACGTCATCATCATCGTCTTCTGGCGCCATGGTTGCACCGGCACCTGAAGCAGCACCAGGTTGCTGCTTCTGGAACTGCTCTGCCAGTTTCCTCAAGTTGTCCAAGTTATCAGGCCCTGAAAAAAATGACAGAAAAACCATTAACACAATCTTATATTGTTCTGCACTCTGCACATTAACAAGAGATGTATGATACATACCCAACTGATTAATAATTCCCGGAAGGATATCTTGCAATTCTGCAGTTGAGGAAAATTAATGGTTAGATCAAATATGGATCAAGGACAAGTAATAAACATAGCCTCCACTCTTTATTGATCCCTGATGGAAGAGCAGATATACTGACTCAGCACCTTAAAATCAAAAAATGACCCAAACCCCAACATCCACAAGAAGTCTGCAAGAATTTGTTCGGATGCTAAACATAGACCAATCTTGTTGAACGCTAGTTGCCTACACCGTATAACTAACACTAAAGCCTGCCTTTGTTCTTGGAACAAAAAACTACTTATATAGAATACTTATTAAGGAGAAAGAGAAGAAAGTATACTCTTTGTCTGAGGAGAACCACTAACCACCCAAGTATTGGCAGCAATAGAGGCTTGAACTGAAATACCAAAGCAGATACTTATTAGCCAGCAAGGAGGAAAACAAACTAGCATACAATGTACATGTTTTTACATCATTACCTTTGGGATTTACAAATTGGATAACTACTTCATCTTTAAAAATATTGACTTCCTCAATTGCAGGTATGGCATTCACCCCTATTCTCTTCAGGGTGCTTTGAAGCCTTTTGTCATCTGTGGTGGTAGTCTTGTGAACGGCCTTCTTCTTTCTGTTCATGAGTATGTGTTTTAACAATTAAACCAAGAGTAGGAATAGAAGGAAGCTCAAAATCAGCAGATGAGAAGCATGAATCTTAGTATCTCCTTCCAAAAAAATCCCTTTTAATTAATTAAGAAAATCAGCATAGTTGAAAGAAATAAATATTTCCACAATCACAAAAACATCAACTACAACACTGTAATATAATCACAAGCAACCTACATATCATGTTGTTCAAAGCATAACTGTACTTCTTTTTTCAAAAGATTGTCCTGTTTACAAGATGTATGGCCCAAGCTTAACATGAATGCCCCAGATCAAACCTCACAAATGATCTCTTAATCCAAAAATCCATGGCATCAACCTAGTGTTGTTAAAGGCACACCTAGTCCCATGCCTAGGTCCAAGGCGCAACAAGTCCCAGCTGTAGTGCTTTGCCAAAAACAGGTAAGGCTACGTGAATAAGGCATGTGCCTACTGCAATTGGACACAAAACTGAAGCACCTATCAAGCATGCTTTAGTGAAAACTTTTATGCTTTGCCTTTTTCTCTTCCAGATGCATGTGACTTATTATTTTTGTGCAAGGACAAGATGTGTTGGGTGTGAGTGATACACAAAATATATAATAAAATTTAATATGTCCCAACTCAATGCAAAAAGAAAGGCATAAGAGTCGTCTCTTCTCCCAGTTGAAGTGCCATAATTGTCTTATTTATTTGGACTTAATTGATTTTTGCCGTGTTTTGATAAATGATATAGCTCTGTTCTTGTGAATTACTGAACTTGTTTTGTAAAAGTTGTTGGTTGAATGCTTTATTCTTGTCATATTTCATACAGATTGATATGCATAAATTGGGAAGTTGAGAAGAGTTTTGTCTCTATAATAAAAAGTTTTGCTTATCTAAATTAAGACGGTTTCAATAAATACGTGTTTATGAAATGAGCCACTGTTTATTGAAATTAAACTCTCTTTCAAATATTTGGGAACTTAGATATTTTATGATGTCTGCATTTTTAAATATTTGGTTATATTTTGTGTTTTTTTATATCACTACATATTTTAAAAATCAGTTGCATGTTATCTATAAGTTGCGCTTTACATTGCCTCACCTTGTGGCTCCCGCCTAGGCCCCAATAGACCTTGGCACCTAAAATAATACTACACCAGCACATTAAAATTTCAATAAAGGTGAAGAACCTCAACATAATAGACCAGCTCATTGCACTTTAAGTAATCTATAATTTCCATGAATTTAAAAACCAAGACAGTGAAAGCATTTTAATGCTGGTTTCATAAGAATATACATCCAAAACTCTCAGTTCATTCACAGTTCCTTTTGATTTATTGATTATGAGGTATCAAGTTGCCCAAAAACACACCTTCTCATGCTACCCTTTCCGCCGGTGCGAACTGCACTTGCCATCTTCATTAGCTTTTGCACATCCATTTGAAGAAAAAAAAAATGCCTGAAATGGGTAAGAAGCTTCTACTAATTATAGTCATAGACAACAAAGTAAGAACATGGTGAAATAATAACAGCAAAAAATAAAATATTATTAAAGATTATAACATCCAAAATCAGTGTCTCTAATGCCACAGGGTGGACTGAGACCCAAGTCACACTTCACATCACCAAAAATTATGAATCAGGTTCAACAAAGAAGCATTGCAAATAAATAAGGAACCAGTTCCCACAGGTATAAACTAATTGTAAAATGGATTATAAGAGCATCTCCAGCCAACCCTGACTCAAATATAAATTTGAGCTAAAAAAGCCCAAAAGGCTTCCTCCAACATTTGACTCAAGCTTATACCAAATCAAAGGAGACTCAAATTTTCACCCAAATTAAGAGAAACTCAAATCGTTACTCAAATTTTTAATGGTGAAATTTCACTCTTTTTAAAAGATTCAATAGTCATCTTTACTCTATTTTAAATTTGGGTTTTCCCTCATTAAATTTGAATTTCTCCTCCTTTAAATTTGAGTTTTTCCATTAGAACTCTTTGTATCAAATCAAGTTTTTTACTCAAATGTTAATTTAAATTTGAGTAAAAATTCGAATAAGAGATGCTTTAAGCTATTGTGTTCATGCTTGCCTGCACCAAAAGTAAACAAAGATGATCTTTCATCAGGTGAACAAATAGACGGAACACAAATAGAACTCAATAAGCCACCCAACAAGAAAAAGGCACTTGCCTGACTCAGGCTCATTATTGGAGAATAGTATTAAGTGATGTGATTCATTTGATTTCATACAAACAAGCCCTACGCAGATTACATAACTCGAACTACAAAATTCCCAATATTATCAACAAACGAAATAGTTACATAATTTGTAAATAGAAAAAGCAAAGGGCAGTTCCCAGTAAATTTTTAATCCACATACTGAACGTATAGATAATAATTGGCAGTCAAGCATCTAAAATGACCAAAACAATTCAGAGAAAACAAAATGTTAGTACCCGACTTTTTGAAACACTTGAAAGATACCTATACCAAACCAGTTAGTCATTCGAACACAAGCATAGCAAACTTGATGAATATAGTTCATAAACAAACATACACAAATACAAAGACACATTTCGAAAGAAAGCCCCAAATCAAACAGTGAAAAACCCACTTTCCGGAAATAGTGAAAGCCCCACAAACTTGAACACAGGATCCGATCTATAACCAATTACGGAAGCAAAATCGACGCTTCACACGCTCAAAAACACAATCATAAATAAATATATATAGAAAAAAACCCTAATTCTCAAACATGTAGCTTAAGTGAAGTTCTGACTTTTTTTTTCACCGCCACAATCAAAAATCAGAATATTTAATCATTAATCAACACACACACACACATGCATATATAAAACATATAGATACATAGATACATGGTATAAACAGAGAGAGATAGAGAGGTGGGGGTGTTTAGTGTCTTACCTCGGTGAGCTCTGGAGTACAGAGAGATGAGAGGTGGTGGCCAAGAGAGAGAAGGTCGGGGCTGGAGAGAGAGAGTGGATAACATATGAAACCCTAGTGTCGACCGGTTTTATGCGCACACATATGCTAGGGCACATTTGGTATTTAATTGATATTTGAGGGGTATTTTAGTAGCACAAATTATAAACTTGGGCCGGGTTACCTGAATTTCACGGGTAAACTATAGCTATTTTCAAGTTGGGTCCTCGTATAACATATAGAAAGCCCATTTTGCGTCCCTTGTAGGGCCATGAGCAAATCAATTTTTGGATGGCCCAAAAAGAAATTAAAAAAAAATTTGAGGGCTCGGTCCATATTTTAGTACTTCTGGAGCTGTTAGTCCATCCGAAATCTTACCTTTATTTTAAGTCCATTTTTTATTCAAATGTCCAAACTACTTCCGAACTCTCTCCTTCCTCGTAGAAAGAGCACAAAAGATCTTTCCATCCAAAACCTCCGCATTTGAATTTTGAAAATAAAAAATCCATTGATTTCGGCGGAAGATTAATTTCAAAATTGATTTCGACGATGCCAAAAATAGTAATATTTAAAACAAAAAATAATAACATTTAAAACTAAAAATAACATTTTAAAACAAAAAAAATAATATGTAAAATCAAAAACAGTGACATTTAAAATCAAAAACAGTGACATTTAAAATCAAAAATAATGATGCACAAATTAGTTTGCACACCACTAGTTAAGTAATAGTATAAAATGCAATAAAATAAATAGAGGAAAAGAGGAAACAAGGTTTATAGTGCTTCGGTCAATAAGACCTACGTCCATTTTCAATGACTAGGTTCGCTGGAAACTTTTATTAACTCAGGGGTGTAGGGAGAGTAAGGATTACAAAAAAGAGAGGAGATGAGCTTGACTCTTTTTTAGATGCCCCCCAAGTGTTGAGGGAGTTTACAATTTATAATTTCGTGCATAGTAATTGGATAGTTAGTCTGACGGTCATAATTAGGCCCGTTTAATAGTAATTGAATCTCTTGGCGACTTCTCCTCTCTTTGGCGACCTCTCCTCTCCTCAACCAGCAAGAANTTCGACGATGCCAAAAATAGTAATATTTAAAACAAAAAATAATAACATTTAAAACTAAAAATAACATTTTAAAACAAAAAAAATAATATGTAAAATCAAAAACAGTGACATTTAAAATCAAAAACAGTGACATTTAAAATCAAAAATAATGATGCACAAATTAGTTTGCACACCACTAGTTAAGTAATAGTATAAAATGCAATAAAATAAATAGAGGAAAAGAGGAAACAAGGTTTATAGTGCTTCGGTCAATAAGACCTACGTCCATTTTCAATGACTAGGTTCGCTGGAAACTTTTATTAACTCAGGGGTGTAGGGAGAGTAAGGATTACAAAAAAGAGAGGAGATGAGCTTGACTCTTTTTTAGATGCCCCCCAAGTGTTGAGGGAGTTTACAATTTATAATTTCGTGCATAGTAATTGGATAGTTAGTCTGACGGTCATAATTAGGCCCGTTTAATAGTAATTGAATCTCTTGGCGACTTCTCCTCTCTTTGGCGACCTCTCCTCTCCTCAACCAGCAAGAAAATTATGATGCACTCCAAAGGACTTGGTCAAGGTATGTGGAAAGGTTGACTCTCTCCAGGCCGTGTGGGATAGGTTCCAAAATGTTCCCTTGATGGTGCAACTCCCTGATGAGCTTGTCTAGCTTGGACCTCATTTGGGCTGGACTTTGCTAGATCTCTTGGGATTGGATCATTAATTTAAGTCGGGCTTATAATATGGGTTGAGCCCTTGGCCCTGGCCCATCATTTATCCCCCAATGCTCTGTGTTTAAGGAACTTAGAAAGGAGGGCGTTCGATTTGACATATTATGAGTCCCATGTGGAGTTTTAGATCAAAAGTTACGGTCAAAATAGCGTACACACCTTTTTAAAATTTTCTAAAAACTTCTCTTGGTTGGCGACCCCATCACTTCCAGGACCCATCACCTCCAATGGACTCATTTTGCTTATAGGACCCCCTTAACTAAATAAGCTCCCTCTTTTTTTTTTTTTTGTTGCTCCAAGAAGATTTTAAAATCCAAGTGTCAGAGTATCTGTGCCTTGTATTTGCTATATGTACAATGGCAAAGAGGCAGATGCCGGAGCGGGCGGAACGGAGTGGAGTGAAGCGGAATGTAGCGGATTAGTTGGGGAGCCTCCTTTTCATCCTTACTATTTTATTCATTCTTGAGAGAAGTGGAAGTGGAACTCTTCTTGAAACCTTCCAAGAACATATTGGTGTGACTTTTCTTGAGATCTTTGTAGACCCAAGGCTTGTTATTCTTGAATTTCTTAGTCACCAATGTCTATAGAGGAAGAGATTCAAGCTTCCATTGATGTGGGGGTGCTAGGCACCCCTTTTGGGGCTGATTTTGCTGGTTTCAACGAGCAAGGAGATGGGCATGACTTTGGCGAGGCTGGGCGAACAAACTTGGAGAGGCGAACAAGGGGTAGCAGTCCGCTAGGCGAGCATCTTGGGCGTGCCAGCCTGTTGGGCAAGCAGCCTAGGCACTCCAGCCTGTTGGGCAAGCAGCCTGGGTGCTCCAGCATGATGGGCGAGCAACCTAGGCACTCCAACTCATTGGGCGAGCAGATTAGGGAGATGAGAGCTGTGCATGCGCCTATAGGCGCTGATTTGGACAACCTGGGCAAGCTGCCTGGGCGTACGAACAGCAAAATTGGTGTCTTTGTTGCGCGGGACCAACTGGGTGAGCCACTCCAATCAGGCAAGCAAGTTGGGTAAGCAGGTTGTCTTGGGTAGAGTCTTGGGCATTGAGGTGCCTAGGATGGACGCCAATAATGATGCAAGCACGCGAGACAACCCATTAGGTGGGCAAAAAAATGCTCCTTTGGACTCTAGCTTGAGAAGTTTTGGAGAGGAAGTAGCTTTGGGCGAGCAAGAGGCTGAAAAGCAGCGTGCAATGAACACTTTTGGTGGTGGGAGTCTAGCTCCTCCAAGTGTAACTTCTCAAAATCGAATTCCTCGAGACCTTTCTGGCAGCTGCTTGGGCAGAGCTTTACACCCTCGCGCCAAGAAGCATCGAGGCAAGGTAACCCTCGATGAGGATGGGTCCAAAGTAAGTACTATCTCCAGCACTTTAAATACGAACGCTGATATTTTACGAGTTGTTTCCGCCTACCACATCCCTCCAACTGTGTTGTGTCATCGAGTCGAGATGGGTGAGCCTGCCTCTGATGACTCCTCTGGTGACATTGTCATCTATAAGGAGATGTTGGAGGCTGGGCTTAGGTTCCCCATGTCTAATTTTATATGTAGCATTCTCGGGTGCTTTTCCCTTATCCCGGGGCGATTGTCACCCAATGGATAGAGGGTTTTGCTATGAATTCTGGTTCTGTGGAGGAAAATGCATCATGAGGATACTTCTTCGGAGAAATTTCATGGAGCTTATACCTTGAGCGAGACCCCTGCTTCCAATCGGGGTTGGTATTACTTTACCACGAAGGACAAACTACTCACTGGATTGCGATCCAACTGTCATAGTTGGAAATCTCGCTTTTTATTTGTTGGTGGAGAGTGGGCTGCAGAGGCAGATAGGACTTTGATACCGAGTGGATGGAGTGTCCCTAAAAAACTTGGTATGCCACACACTTACATTCTCTCTTTTATCTTCCTTTTTTTTTTTTGTCATCATTCCTCTTGCAGATCCCCCTGTGCTCTCCCTAGGCCAAGAGTGGAAGCTAGAGGCGGTGAGAGCTTATCCTGAAAAGGACTTTGGAGTCCTTATGTCCAAAGATGGTGGTGCTACCCCGAAGTCCAGTGGCTCTTCTTTGAAGAGGAAAAGTGAGTTAATTCCTTTTCAGCTTTCTCTTTTACTTGGTGTTTTCCATCTAGGTAACACTTTATTTGTTTTACAGCTATAGACAGGGAGAAGCTTGGGTCTCATCTCTCTGATAGGAGTTCTCCTCCTTCCAAGGTGGTGAAGCAGACTTCCAGGTTGATGACGCGCGGCGCCTCCCAAGTGACCTTGCCACCCAAGGCATGCTCTTCTCAACTACCTCCTCAAGTGGCACCTCGGGCACCTTCCCATAAAGTGTCTCCTCTAGAGGCGCCTCCTCAGGCGAAGACTCCCTCAATTGGACCTTTCACTATAGAGTCTCATTTGTTAGCCACACCTTTTGCCCCCCTTTCAGCCACCCCTCCTATGGGGAACCCTGGTGGAGTACCTTCTCAAATCCGCTCCAGGTTAGGTAATGCACTGGTCATCAAGGATCGGCTTGGGTTGTTTTTGTGCGAGAAGGATGTGGATGAGATTGGAGCCTTGGGTACGGAGGGAATTCTTAGCTCTTTCCTAGAAGGTTGGGCTCAGGTAAGAGTTTATTTTCTCTAATTTCTCTCTTCCTTAAGTGTCTGACCTTCTTTTGCCTTCTGTTTTTCTCCAAGCTTCATCAGCATCTATGTGTTTACTTTCAAGGACCCTTTTTTATCACAAGCTGAAGCATGATCATGAAATTGTGCAAAATGATCTTCGTGCTGCACAAGAGAGGATAGCCGAGCTTGAAGGTACTAGCAGAATTTATGACGCTGACCTTGTGGCATCCCGTAAGAGGGCAATTGGACTTGAGGCTGAGCTTTTGGCGATCCATGGAAGGACAGCCAGACTCAAGGCTAAGGCAATTGGAGGGCGGCCACACTCGAGACTAAGCTTGTGGAGGTCCGTGAGAGGGTCACGCTCAGTGAGACTGAGCTTTCGGTGACCCATGGGAGGGCGGCCACGCTCGACACTGAGCTTGTGGAGGTCCGTGAGAGGGCTACGCTCAGTGAGGCTGAGCTTGCAAAGACCTGCGAGAAGGCCATGCTCAGAGAGGCTACCTTTGAGGCAGAGGTGAAGGCTGCTCAAGAAAAGCTTCTCAGGCTGAGGCGAACCTGGAGAATGGCGTTTTAGGTGCTTTCATTGATGGTTATGAGGAGCTCTGGGGAAAGATTTTTGCTGCCTTCCCCAACATTGATGTCTCAGGCTTCTTGTCAACTGAGGCACCTGAGGATAGTGTTGGGAGCTCTGATGGTGCCGAGGGTGATGATGACAAGGAGGTGGAGGGTGACGACC